TTTTCTTTGAATCCTTTTAATACAGCCTTTATTTCATTATCATATTCAGTCCATTCTGGAATTATTCTCTGGGCAGCCACTAATTTTGCTTCCTTGGTCATAGGGTTATTACACTGTGGAAAAAATGTAAATATATATATACACAGAAATCTAAAATTACTGATAATGAGAAAAGACAGACTCAATAAAACAACGAAAATAGGACTCAAAAGACATTCTGGGATACTTTAATCCCCAAATGACACATGACATTCTAAAATATCTGCTAGGGAAAGAATCTAGAAAGTGTTTCCATTCTATGGTTATACTGTATAAAACAAATGAGATATCACAATAATGCATGCTTCTATCTCTGGGTCCCACAAAAAGCAGTTAGCAGCTGGGCTATATTACATTAACCCAGATTATTCAGTAGCAAAAGAAATTTCATGGTAGGTAGCAAACAACGAAGAGATTTGAGTCACCATGTGATGTGGAAGCAGACAGAAGTGAAACTGATGCAACAAGTCAATTAGAAGTTTAATTTCATAACACAGTATTTTACCAAAACAGTCTACCTCACATTTATATCAAAATCCTTATTTTGAATGTTACAATTAGATATTATATCTTACACTCTGGACTTCTACTCTGCAGTGGAAATGCATTTCTTTAATTCAACAGGTTCAAAATACATGCATCTGAATATGTAAATAAATTACAACCTAAAATTTTCTTTTCTTGAGAGAAATAAAGAAAGCAAAAAAAAACAAAACAAACTTACCAAATCAATAATCTTGGCACTTTTCTTTGATTCATCATCACACCAAGACTCACACCAGAGCCAGTCTTGAGGTAATGACTTAATACGCACTTGGTGTATCATGTTATTGGGAAGGTCCTGTAACAAGAAGTTAAAAATACATAACCAAATTTTCCTTGAAAGACTACTTTACCTAAAAATGACTGGAATGTTAATATGCCTTTCAGTTTAGCAGAATCTAATATACTATTCTGTGGTATGGAGGAAAAACAAGTAACTAAACAGATGTAAATTTACCTGATCCAAGTTTGAAAGTGAGTTGGGATCCTGTGAAAGCCCTTGGTATTGGCCTCTGAGTCGGTCACCTGCTGCAATCCTGCGGAACTTTTTCAGATCAACAACAAACAGAGCGGAGATGTGGTACTTTCTTCCAGCCAGGTGATTGCGCCAATAACCTTGTTTCCAGAACCTGAAAAAAGAGAGAACAGTAATTAAGTGTTTATATCAGGGAAGCTAAAGTGACACCACAACAACTGCATAACAATATTCAAAGACAGACACAAGGCAACATGTATGAATCCAGGTGTTAGGAAAATTAGTCTATATTCATCTGTCCTACATAAAGCAGTGCTACTAGAAATTATACAAGCAGAAATTTAATGTAATGTTGCAGCTGTCAAATTATATTCAGAAAAGCATATCATCAAGAAACGAAAATCTTTTATCTACCTAAATCCTTCAATTTCCTTGCGAGATTCACAGAAAGGCACAAATCCGTAGGGAGCTCCATCGAGTTCTTCATTATTTAGGTCCTTGACATCTGCACGCACAACCTGGAACCATCATATATTATTCTGAGCTTCCATTTTGATGACTTTTTTTTGTAACATAAATCTACATAAAGCTAGTTTTCTGAAAAAATAAACAAAGCCTTTATATTCCAGTATAAAAAATGTTTTCAGGAATGTACACTAGAAGAAACATTTTGATTTACCTGATCTGCATCAACAAAAATAATCTTCTTAACATCTAATGGGAAAAGCACATCTAAGAAGAGAATCTTGTAGCCCCAAATGATGCGTTGTTTTTCAGTCTGTTGGTGGAGCCACCTGGGCCATTTGTATTGGACCAGTTCGTACTCAAAGCCATATTCTTTGGCAAGTAGTGGCAGAATATCCTGAAGCAATATTAACAGAATCAATATCATCATCTCCCTGAAACACCTCTAGGTTCAAAAGAATGGATTTTATTTAACAGCTAATTGCAAAGACTATCCAAATAAGCAAAATATATTTCAAAGAGCAAACGTAAACATTTGACATAAAAAACTTAGTACTTACTTTAGAATTCAGACTCATCAAACTGCAATACTAACCTTGAAGTTGGGAGATAGGAAGTTCTTGAGGAACCAAAATTTAACTGGGGCTTTTGTGTGGCGACGGACGGACACCATCATGATCCTCAAGAAACGTTCATACAGATGCCCGGATGCCACAGAGAAAATGTTCACCTTTTCAGTTTCATCCTCTTTGGCTCCACTTGAGCTGAAGGTGCTGAAGTTGTTGAATAATTAGTAGATACTCAATGCATGTTAGAAAGTAAAAAGTAACTGGGTAATACATGATACGTTCTTTTCTTTTCCACTTTACCTAAATAATGTTATACAAATAAAGTCTCAAAAGCTGTGAGGAGAGAGGACAGAATAGAGGCAAGGAAAGAAGAGGAAGAATGGAGAGAAGAGAGGAAAGGAAGTGGAAAGAAAAGTGGAAGATAAGTGGAGAGAGAAAGAATGGATAGGAGAGAGGAGAAGAGAAAAGAATAGAGAAGGAGAGAGGAGAAAAAAGGAAATGAAGAACAGGGACTGACTCTAATCATTTAAGCTATTGGCACTGGGTACATGTACTATCTGCTGTAATTTGTTTTGAGAATTTTCTTTACACAGACATTGCTCAAAAAGCAGTGGTTTACCAAGGAGTACTTTGTAAGGCCTGACTAACCTCACCTGATTTCCACATTCATTGTATTTCATTTTAAAGATACTTTTACTACCATTACTATTGACATTATGACTATTTCAATTACATTAACAACATGAACAGCAATAAAGATAAAACATTTTTCCCAAGAAAATTCAAATAAAAAGTAAACAGATCAGATCAGGGAGAACTAGAAACAGTCCCTTAAGTATCTAAGTGCTTGTGGAGGAATCAATGTGTAAACAAAATTAATGTCTTGGAATCACATTGGACAGGGTATATATGTCATGCCACAAGAGTGACAAAGGGTTAAAGCTCTGGCAACTTTATTTTCTGTATTTTTTTACTTATTAATAGAAATGTACTCTACAAAATGCCTTTATCCTGCAGTATATTTATGGAAACCTAAGTATGTCTGTTCAACAAGGTGAACTAAGGAAATTCTTAAATCATGTAAAAAAGAAAACCTATTCTAATATAAACAATTAATAAGGAAATAACTAATAATCAACCATAAAAAATGAAAAATGATTTGCAATATCAAATAACCTATTTAAACCAAAAACAAAAACCATTAATCATTATTCTAAAATAAACATCATACAGAGTGCAGAGTTGATAATGATAACAAGGAAATGCTTAGATAAAAGACAAATATAAATGAAAGCAGTCACATTTATATATAAAACATGACATTTCAGAAGCTGAGATCAAAGTCTGAAGTAATATTTATGAAATTAATCATTCTTACAAATTCAATATCAACATGCATTAAAAGTTGACCTTTTATCATGTTCCGATGTCTGTTATTAAAAAGCTGGCAAAAAATAATTTTCTGCAAAGGTTGGAAACCACTGCTCTAGAAAGAAAATAAACTTGTGCTATTATCAAAATATATTATATTCAAGCCAATCATTCATAAAATGTTAGAAGAAAAGTGATTAAAGCATAATTAGTAGTAACTAGTGCTGTGATAACCAGTCGCCAATTTTACTTGAGGTACTGAGATTATCAATTACCTCAAAGTATTTTACAATAATAATCATTAATACCAAAGTAATTACAATCTAATACTATCAATGACTTTTAACATAGCATTAATGTTCATGTGAATAATCAAATCATACACTTGCTAAAATAAAAAATATAAACATTCTATACCGACTGCTAAAATATGTCATTATATAAAAACAAGGATTTTTCTATACCTATACTTTTATATCAATCTTTTGGTCTATTCATTAATCTATATTCATACACACACAAAAAAAAGAAAAATGAAGTAAGTGGACATGCTAATCTGTGAAATAATAATACTCAAAATAAAGTGAAAAAAGGAGAGAAAAAAAAAAAAAAAAAAAAAAAAAAAAAAACTGATCAATTTAGTACATACAATGGAGCTATACACTGAATATATTGACATAGCTCCAACCTGAATTTTGGTTTTCTGATATACATATATACATATGAATGTGTGTGTATATATATATATATA